ATGGATTTTCATCGAACTATTGAGCACTTACATATTTGATAATTTTGGTCAGAGATCATGGAAATGTACTTGATAGTTAAGCCTAACATCCTTTTGAATGGAACAATTCCCCTCACTTCGACGTAAATTCTCACAATGAGTGAACTCATTGGGAATTAATGTACGTTTTGATCGGATGAAAGTGTTTCCAAATAACGAAGCAAAAAGACTTGCAGTCTTTGGAACATGCAGTTGAATTAACAGATGGAATATTGAAGCCGAACAAACCTTGTGGGAGGAAACGACTCAAAATTTCATTGAACTTTGTTGCTCTTGGTTTTTATTAGAAAATGTGACTATCTCTGTTAGTCTATTACATAGAAATGCATCCAGATGAGCGTGATATAAACCAATGAAGAGCAGAATAATCAGTTGAATATTCAATGAAATAATACAGAAAAGTTCATCGAGCTGTCGTTGATCATGTCAGTCGTCCGAATTGCGTCTATTTCCTTAGCTGAACATCAATGATAGGGGGCAAACAGCGAAGACAACTGCATATAAAATAGATGGGAATGATTAAGGCTTGCTTCAAGATGGGCATACTATCAAAATTAACAGAAATTGACCTGCTTTATCAAATCCCGAAATCCCGGGATTTTTCAAAACATAAATCCCGAGATCGGGATCAGAACTGTAATCCCGGGATCCCGGGATCCCGGGATCCCGTGCAAACCCTACTAATGATACTTTTGCGATGGGCGGTATAAACAGGGCGGTCCATTCAGTGTTGCCAGCTTGATTTCTAATTGGTGTAGTGCGTAGTGAAACGTCATAGTTACTTTGCAAAATTACTATATATTCGTCGTCTCCTTGCCGAACACGTTCACTGTGCTGATATACAGCCGCAATTATGGGTATGAAGTCCACTCTGCTTGTTGCGCTTTCGATAATTTATCTGACCAATGTTGTTTCAGCAGGTATGCCTCTAAGGTCTATTCGTCTTATGTAATTTTTAACCACTTTTGGAAAGTTATCTTGGAAATTGCATGGTGAATCAATCGTTCAGTGACGGAAAGGGATGGGTTGTAGTGGAAGGTGCTCAAGATCTGCCGAGTTCGAGTGAACGGCCAGCGGTATCTGAACTTCAGTGAGTGCTCGTATTGCACGATTCAACCCTAAAAAAGGAAAGTGCTCGAACTGCACGATTCAACCCTAAAAATACCTAGGCGATAAGGCTTTCGCGCTGGGTTAGGATATGCGCGGGCATCCATTGGTCGTGTTTGTGCGTGACGGTGCGCGTGTGCTTGCCAATGCGTAAGGGTAGTGGCTTTAAACAGCACGAGTACTGGGAAGCTATTTGCGCATGGTTGCTGTTGTGAAGCTGCACTAGTTTCTGTGATGATCAAAGGCGGAATGTTTTGATTTTAAGGAGGTTAACTTTCAGATTGCGATAATTTGCTAATGCGATGTTTTACGAGCGCGTGGCTACTTTGTAATTCGGTGGCGGAGGCTGGCTCACTAACTCCAGGAGATTGTGGTCTTGTATATAAGCATTGTAGAGACGATGGAATTAGTAAGTTTGCCTAATGCTGATTGCACCATCAGACGCTTTTATTTTCAGCATGCGCATTTTTACTTGTGTTCCTCCAATTCGATCA